TAGCCTTCAGAAACTAAGTCAAACTTTATCTTGTGTTACTAGTGTGTTCTAACTTTAAAAAAAAAAAAAAAAAAAAAGGCTAGTATAGACAAATGTTACTCAAGAAGAAACACGCATAGCACGCAAATCCTGAGCCGGTCACGTTACTGGAAAGCTAAACACCCACAATCCTCACTTCAGTGACCAGTACAAATGCTGCCTCTTAGTGTCATTATGTGCCTGGCTTCTTAATTCCCTTAGGTTAACAAATCCACCAGGCCATATATATTTTCAGCACCTTTTCCTAAAACTCTTACATCACTCACATATGTTCCATCTGATAATTTCTGCTGAAAACCTGATAATTTCTGCTGGGATAGCAGAAAGTTGGTTTTCTTAATGAATATTATTTAAAGCATTCAACAAATGAGAATGAAGGAACCCCAGGCACTTTCTTTTCAATCCGGGCTGTGAAGTTTGAAGTTTCAAGCTCCATCTCAGTAATTATCCTGACTCTAGTATAGATTGCGTTTTGTTTTGCTTTTTCACATTTAAAAAAAAAAAACACAAAAAAACCAACAACGTTTGCCCTACTCTTTTTTTTGTACCAGAAATTGTGCTTGCCAGGCAGGCGCTGTTGCCCTACCCTTTCTTCTGTGATTTTTGGAGTGGTTATGTGCACTTGGCTTAGAAAGGTGGGGAACAGCTACCTGCAAATAGAGCTCACAAGAAGAAAACCAAGATTCTAAAATATCAAATAAGAGAAAATTGGTAGTATCTTTTGGAGCCCCTGGATGAAGGTGTGCCTCAAACAATGTCCTGCTTTTTTCCATTTAAGTAATCCAATAAATTTCATTTCGATTAGACTCATTTTGGATTAGATTTTCATTCACTTAGAACCTCTGAGAAAAAATGTTTTGAGATTATTTAACAAATACTACCAATGCAGTAATTCTTTTTTTTTTTTTTAAAGTAAATCTTTATGCATGAGACCAAGAAAATGAAACTGCTGGGCATCATGTCACGTCAAATCCATAATAAAATAAGTCAAAAACACATTATTTCAAAGGAATTAGCATTAAAGAAAGAAAAGTGAAAAATACAAGCCTGTTAACTGCCATTCATACTGACAGTTCTCTATAAGAACAGAAAGGAGGAACTTAGTATAGAATCTTTAGACACAAAATGAGGAAAAGGAGACGTATCATATCTACAAGAAACTAATTTTTCCAAGAAATGCACACAGTGTTCCACATGCAAACTTGGAACATACCTGCCAGACCAAATCAGGATCAAAATTAAAACTTGAAGCTTCCTGCAAGAAGATAAATTATAAATAACTTTATCCACTGTGCTTCCTTTCACTTCTTTCAGATGATCTCAGACCCCAGGCTCCAGCTGACTGGCACACGTGAGGTCTGCAAGAGCACCGTCCCCATTTTAAAGGGGCCTCTCCAATGCTCACCCTGCAGTGACACACTATTACAACTCCCTAAGTTTAGAGGGGCACACAGAAATCTACTAGATCTACTGGGCTGTGGTTCCACGTAGTGCTTGAAGTCAGGTAAGATTCCACAGATTTCACAACAAATACCTTTCTCTAATTGATGCAAATGTGATTCAAATATATTTATGTTTTGATTGTTTAATTTTTAAAAAATTATTATGGTAAAAGACACATTGTCATTAATTCACCTCCCTAAACATACCCTCCTCTACTTCAAGGACACTTATCCAGTCATTCTTGATACTTTCTGACGCAGTTCTGGAAGTTGTACTTTTACTTGTGTTGTTATGGCTTCCTAGATGTTCCACATTCATTCAACTCATTTATCGTTCACGGTCATTTGACTTTAGGGAACAGCCAGACATTGCATGGGGCCAGATTCAGTGAATAAAGTAAATGATGGCATCCCTCAGTGTTATTACAAACATGGCTGGGGGCTGGGGATTTAGCTCAGCGGCAAAGCGCCTGCCTGGCAAGCACAAGGTTGTGAGTTCGGTTCCCGGTACCGGAGAAAAATCAAAAAAAAAAAAAAACATGGCTTTACCTTGGATGGCACATAGCGGAGAATTCACCGTATTTTTTATCCTAGGCACCCACAAAAGAGTATTTCCAGAACTGCTTCAGAAAGTGGCAAGAACATGATTTCTCTCATGTGAGTAACCCAAATTATAAATAAACAACAAAACAAAACATAGATAATAAGAGGTAAGAAGACTGATCTTACTCGAATAGGAAAGTGATCAAGAGTTGGAGAGAAAGGGAAGGAAGGAGAGAGAGAAGAGATAAAAAAAAAAAAAAGAAATTAAGATAAGTCATATATATATATATCAACTCCACACAAGTAATGTAAATATTATGTACTCCAAACATGTACTAATAAAAAAAAGCTGTGAGAACGATAAGTATGTTCAAACCAAGGAAGAGTATTTCGAAGGGGATTAATGCCAATGCATCTTTTACTGTAATTTTTTAAAAATTTAAATATACACCATATAGTTTCACCAAACCTTCCATGCAGGGATGTTTAGGGTTCAGAAGCTCACCTCCAATTTCTCTAGGAAGCAAGAGACAAGTAGTACCTTGTGAGCCCTAATTTGTGTCATCTGCCTGAAACTACAGGGTCAGTTTACTCTAAAAAAACTCTTTTAAAGATTTTGCCCTGGTACTAAGTGCCACTTTCCCAAAACTAAGACACAACAGGGTCCCAAGTTCTGCCCTCTGGATTTAAAGATCACTTCTATTTGGTAGTCAACTCTAGTCTTGTATAATGCGGCTTTCCAACATTTCCTCCAATTTCCAATGCACCAAATTGGATGAGATCACAGCCTCTGTCATGAGTTATACACACAGCCAAGGCGATGACCCTCTACCAGCTGCCTCCATAACTCAATTTAGGTGTGTTCAGTATACATGTTAATGGGACCCAGATTTCTCCACAGACAAAACATAAGGCAGTGCTTTTGTAAATTAACCGGCATCCAAAAAGAAAGACTCAGGCTGTTTCCTGACAAAATATATTGATTTTCATGTGTCCTAACAATGTGTTCCTACGCCTGCAAAACAGCATCCTTAGCACCCATAATAGAAAAATTCCAAGCTTAACTGAATGATAATGTGTATATGTGAATTTGCCCTAATAATCATGGTTTTATGCCTTCCCATATAGACAGCCTAAATGATATTTTTATTTCCTAATGATTTTGTTTTATAATATGACATTAAAGCTAGAAATGGTACACCAGAATTTTTTTTTTTTTTGTACTGGGAATCAAACTCAGGACCTTGCACTTGCCAGGCAGGTGCTTGTGCCAATGAAGTATATCACCAGCCCAGTAAACTAGAATTTAAAATGATTTTTACTTTAAAAAGTCACCAAAACACAGCAATTGCCTTTGTGCCAAAACATTTAGCAGGAAAATACCACACTAGGAGAGATGCTCAGGTTCTCCAAAGATCTCTAGAACTTATTTTTCCTTTATTTTAAAAAATGACAATTGAGAAATAGATGTGTGTATCTCCTCTCCTCACTTACTACTTGTATGAGGGATTGAGGAGGTGGGTGAAAGCGGGACTGAACCACTATACGCAAAATAAAAACCAGATCTTTTATACTTATTACATATTTTCTTTTTTCTATTTTTACTTTTTCTTAAGCCTTAACCATGTGTCAGGTTTGATCACAATGAAAAGCATAAAATCTCAGTTATAAACCACTGCCCCTCCCAAAAAATACTTTTTTTCAAATTAAAGTTATGTAAATGCAAAACAATTGATGAGCCAGGATTAACAATTATTTTTATATTAATATATGGTCCTTTATATTTTCAAATCAATTTACAGCAAACACATCATGAGACCCTATGACTTACATAACCTCCTCACTTGGGGGACATAGGTTTCAAAGCCAATGTTCTACATTATTTGCACACACACAAAAAATAATTACTTGGATGAAGACATTGCCATGGATGAGGAAAAAAAATCCCAAGTCAGAACTGTACATGCCAAGAATTCAACAGTTAATATTAGTTTCTTTTTCCCTAGGACTTGGGGGTTTTTTGGCAGACAACTCAAAATCATGCACTACAAGAAAGACCAAAAAAATCATTATCCTATCATCAAGCTCGAGAATTTTCTTGTAAGCTGATGGTGTCCAGGAAACTCCTTGAGTGTTAAGCTCAAGTTTGGAATTTGCAGACCACGAACATCTTTATGAAACATTCTTCTTAACAGAATAGTTTAAATCAAAAATTTTTTATTCTTAAAGTGAGTATTGTACTATTTGCTCTCCTCTCACAAACACCGGAAATAAAAAACTTGAAATTTCTAAGTACTGGCAAAGCAGTACTTCTCATTTTGATCTGCTTCTTAATTACAGATCAAGGCTTGGCCGTCATCATTTACTTTATTATTCTTTGCATGCTTTAAAGCCACTCGGAGTGATTTTTGTATTCCTCTCAATAGTTTAGCTCTCTGCCCCCACAGTCAAACAGGATGCTTTGTGAATTTTTAATAAATGATTAGTTCCAGACTTGTTTAGGAAAAAAACATTGGAATCATTAAGAAGTAAATTTTGCTGATAGTATGATTTTAATTCTTCGATACATCTGATGCCTGTAAAATAACTTCCCTATAAAAAAAAAAGCCCTGTTTTTCAAAAGTGTCTTCATTGTAGTGTGAATAGAGAGGGTGGTTATTCTAGCCTTAGAAATTTACTTTTAAAGCACATACAAAGACTCCCTTAGGGTTAACAGCATTGGACATAATCTGGAAATGAACCCAGCTTCTTTCAGCACGGGACACTTGAGCCCTTTATTCATTTGCCTAGAAAAGGATCCTAATTAAAAAGCCAATAAATTAAATGTACCCAGGAAGGAAGAAAGATCCAGAAGCAAGGTACCCACCAAGTGCCGAGAAAACACACAGGATTAATTTCACATATTTGTTAGGTACCATCAAGTTAGAACGAACTCTGAAGGCAGTGCTGTTTTTGACAAATGTGCTCAGCTCCTACCTTCATTTCGATGACAGTCTGGAGAGCCTTCGTCTTGGCTGGCTCCGGCTGAAGTTGGCTTCTTCGGTGCAGTTCCTGGGGAGGAACACGATAGAAATAAGCCTGACGGTTCATCCTTCCGTTACACCATGACCTTTACACAGCGATCACACAGCCCACTGGGTCCAGGTTCCCTGTGCACAGACATAAGCAAGCCACAGGTGCCTCTTCCCCCACACTCTTTAGCATCCCTCCTGCCTGCAGCCTGCGTTCCGGTGAAACGCTCCTGGCACATGCGCTATTTCTGAAACTTCCATCAATAATTAATGCCAACTGTGACAAAGCCAGCAAGTAATCATCGTCCAAATACTGCTCAACACTGGGGCTGATGCCCAGCCATCAAATCATAATTTGCTAAATTACATTACTCTGTGCTCCCAACACAAACACAGCAAGGGTATGGAAGAAAGAAAATGACTAACGTGGTTGCAAATCTGCTGCACGCATGGCATTTTGCTACTGAGGTAGGTTTAAAATGAGCAATTTAAAACCACTTCAGTGCAACTGTGACTTTTTTTTTTACTGTGATCTGTTGTAACCCTGTGAATCTCTTGCTTCCAAATCCAAGTTTCTATCCTTTTTCAAAAATCATAACTGCGGGTGATATGTTTACATATCATGATGCCAAGAAATTAAAATGGCATTAATATCAACAGTATTACAAGAGAGACAAAAATGGCCAAAGCCAGATGTGAATCCAGTAACTCAGGCAATAAGGAACAATATTTCTTTAAATGAAGAATGAACAACATTATTACAGTTTTAAGTTTAAAGGCTTATTTCGTGCATGCCTTTCCTCAAAAGAACAGTTTTGTCTCGATTTGGAAAAGTTGTCTTGGCAGAAGAGACACAGATAAGATTTGTTCAGGTCATGCACTCATTTTCTTAACAACTAGCAACAGAGTTATTAGAGGGCGAAACAGCAGGAATAATCAAGAGGTGGGTCTTTCTTGTTTTTAAAAAAAATTTGAAAGTTTATGGTCCAGTAGTTCCAAAATCTACAGCCATTTCATATTGACTGCTCAATTGATTTTTCAGGAAGCAGAAATAAGTCTTAATGAAATTTCTTCGTAAGTGACCCGTATCAAGTCTGGACCCACCTCTTGATTATTTTCCTTAAGATGATCGTCTCTAATTCCAGTCATTTTCCTGAAAATGACATGATTTCATTTTATTAAATTGTATTTTATGCCAGTGGCCTAAAAATCTTAACCATGAACCATGCATGGTGCACATGTTCAGGGACCAGCACTGGGCAATCACTGCTACAGCTCTAACTTCAGGAGTCAGAGACACATATTTTCTCCTCAAAGTCATGAGTGACACAAGTCAGGAATCCAATGCAAAACTACTTCTCACCCTAGGATTCAAGACCTGTTCTTTCTAATGATTTAAAATGCTCTCATGTCAGTTAAGACATACACATCCCTGCAAGAAATGGAGCAAGTGCTACTGAACCTACCTTATGAATAAATCAAGACCCCTACATCCTTTTGGAGTCTATAACTTCAAAAGCTGGCAGGATAGACATTTTTAGGCTCCTTGGAGATGGCAGAGGTCTTCTGAAAAGAAGACCTTATAGGCAATTGTCCTTTATTATGCATTTACAATATCCCTGCCACTGCTTGTTTCTTGCAAGTCTCAGCATTTCCAAACAAACAATGTGACCTATATATTAAGTCCAGTGGGCTTCTGGTAAATACTTAAATAGCACCCGTGATGGTGAACATCACTCCACCTAAGTGGCATCATTATTATAGAGTTAAAAAGTACTATGTTTTAAATATGGTGTGACTGTACCCCTCAAAGTTTCATCTGCCGGAAGCTTGATCACCAGTGTGGCAAAGTGCAGGGTAGTGGAACCTTTTAAAAGGTGGGCCCAGCAGGAGCTCATTAGGTTACTGAAGGCACTGTCCTCGGAAGAGACTAAGGTACTTCTTGTGGGATCCTGGAAAGTTTTTATGAGAGAGTTGTTATGACAGAGTAAGATGGCCCCTCTCCATTCTCTCTGCCTATCCCACTGTGGGACCTCACTCTCTCACATGCACCCTTACCATGATACCATCTACCAGGATGTAATATACAGAGGGAGGTTCCCTCACCATGCTCTTTGGATTCTGAGCATTCAAAACTATAGGGTAATAAACCTCTTGTCTATAAAGTAGCCAGTGTCAGGTATTTTGCTAGGAAGAGGGAACATTATATAGTATTTTCCAATACATAGATATAATAGATTCAGTAATCCCAAGTTCCTACATAAAAGAAATTAGGAAATTATGAGTTTTAGTAAATGTTATTAAGTATTTGTAAATTTAATTTTTAACATTAGCTAGTAGAATATATTTCCAATGTTTGGCTTTCATGGTCAGAACAATCCAGTTCCACTATACTTTGGATTAATCCCATGAGAACTTCAGTCTCTAAAACAAGCTACTTAACCTTCAACATTACTTCCAACCTTACTGGACTACATCTGACCAATAAAATCTCATAAGTTAAAAAATAGGAAATAAGTCACTTGTCAGAATTATTGTACAGTAAGTGTTACAATAGTAGAATTTTTAATTATATTTTATGGATCACCAATTCTGGCACCAGGTATCAAAATCATCTTTAAAACAAGGTTGAGAAATTAAGTTCATGATAATTTTATACCATAGATAATCCCATTCTAGAATAAAAATTATGAGAACTTTGTTGTATAAAACAAAAATAGTCAAGAAACAACTAAGCAAAAGAGCAAAAACAAAAACCATAGGGTAAAGGGATGCAGTCTTGTAATTTCTGCCAAGTACAAAAAAACAATACAGACAAATGTACAACTAAAAAAGAAAGCTAAACTATGGCAACTGTTATGCAAAACTGGGAACAGTTCTGGTTTCTATAATTAACTAAGTTCTATTATATTATAAACCATGTCAAACTCCAGATTGTGCCCTTTCCCTCTGTGTCATTCTTTAAAAATAAGAATAAAATCTCCTATTACCAGAGATTGTAATTTTAGTTCTGATTTCATTGTTTCTGAAGAGTACCCTAGTTCTTAAGAATCAGTACTGTAACCTATATGCACACTAAGTAAATAATCTGAAAGTCCCATCTCAGATGTTTTATGCACCTCTGAGATTCTTAAAATGTTCACTCTGCCTGAGCAGAGAGGACTAGTTGCCCAATAGATTTGTGCTCCTCTTTCATAATGGAAAGCTGTTGCTAAGAAGCCCTATGACTTCTACCACCACCCTTGTGTCTAGATAGGACTTATTTCTGCCAGCAGAATATGGACAGAATAATGAAGAACTCCCATCTGCAAAAACTTCCAAACTAGTTCTCAATTCTCCTTCTTTGGCTATCTGCTAAATAGAAGTGAAGGACTTGAAGACCTAGGAATATAGCAAAGCCCAAGACAAAAAAGAGCCTAGGTACCTGGAACACGATTTGAAAAGGCTGCTGAGCTCCTACACTAGGTGGAAGAGTGAATGAAAAATAAGCTTCTATTAAGTCAAGCCTCTGAGCTTCCATGCTTTATCTATGGAAATCCAAGCTTTCTGCTCTCACTACAGCAATTGCTGCACAAAGAAAAAAACACATTATTAGTCCTGTATTGTTTGCAGCTTTTGAATCACAGAAGAGGTTTTAGTATGTGGTTGTTTGCCAAGTTTTTCTAAACAGACATACGAGTTGGTTGAATGCGCTAACTATTCCTAACCTCCCGGGAAATACAGCCATTGTACAGTAATCTTAAACAACTAATGAATTTTTCCAGAAGCATTTGCTATTTACTCATATAGGTATGGGTGAGTACAAGATCTAACTTACTCTAATAGGTTTTAAATGACAATATTAAGTCATCAAGTATAGCTGTATCTAAGACTTTTCTGGTCGCAGATTTCTCAAGTGGAAAGGGCAAATTCTCTTCAGAAATGGGCACATAAGCACACACACAAACAAAATGGTGTGAACCATTTCAATGAATTCACAGAGCCAGGCTCAGCACCCCAGAGGTTTACCCCTGAACCAGACTCTGGGATGAGAACTTTTATTGAGAGGAAAGAGCACTGTACTCATACTCAGAAATCATGACTCTCAGAGTGCTCTGGGAGCTGCTGGTCCCACAGATCGAGTCCGTGCTTGGCTCACACTGCCACGGTTCCCAGCTTAAACTCGTGGAGAGAGCCAGGTATTTCCCATGTATTTCCTGAGGGCAGAGTGGGCAACCCAGCACCACGCCGCCATTGCAGACTGAGTCTCTCCCCTCCCTGCACCCAGGGCAGAGAGAAGGTCCTCACTCAGAAGCCCCAGGGACTTCTCTGGCTGGGAACAGGGTGTGTAGCCTCTCCTAGTGCCCGCATGCCCTGCACCCAGTGAGCGAGTGCTCTGGGAGCTGCTAGACACACGGTTTGAGGCCGTGCTTTACTTTCACCCGGACCCCCTAACGGGTCGAAGGCACAGGCAGCCTGTGACTGCTACCCATCCGGCCTGCATCTGGTTCCTGTATGTATTCTGAACTGACTGGAGACATAGAATCAGGTGGTTCACAAACTGTGGACCCTGCAGTTTATGTCTGGATTTTGCCTGTACCCTGAACTGCCTGAGGACATAGGTCCACTGGACTGGGATTGTCACACCAGTGCAACCAGGGTCTGGGCAGTGCACGTACTCTGAACTGCAAGGGGATGCTGGATTAGATGGTCAACCATCAACTGACACCAATGCCCATGTCTGAGAACAGGGATAACTAGAAACAAATCAACAACTGCCGGAAAACCTGAGACAAAGTAGTGCTTCTCAGAGGTCACTCTGGGGCAAACCTGAACAACACAAAAACTAGGGACACTAGTGGCCTTTGCTATGCAGCTACTGAAGAGGGAAACTAAGCTTTCTGTATCCAGTACCAAGCACGACAAAATGAAGGACTAAAACACAATCCCAGAACTCCACCCCACTCAGAACAAGTCCAGGAGACATCAACATAGGAGAACTTGGTAAACACATGCCTGAAATAGCTGAAATGATTAAAATGGAAGTAAAGAAACAACTCC